GGAGCGTCATGCATAGAAGCCAATGTACCCATGGGCGAACAGACAAGAGACAATTCCAGAGAGGGAGGAGAAGGGGGGGGGGTTCAATGGAGACTGGGGATTGTTCCAGAGAGTCCCCAATGTCTACATGGACACAGGGATGATGGGGGTCCTGGTGCTGGAGGGGCAGCCCAGAGATAGAGCTGTAGACCACCTGTTTCTCGGTGATACTGACTCTGTGTGTGACCTCTCTGGTAACAGACTGGCACAGGGAGCAGGTGGGCAGAGATGGTCTCTTGTCTGCACCCCACACTCACTGGCTACCAGCCCTGGGCCGCAGCTACCAGCTCTGCTCCCCTCACTCCATGGAGCTGTCAGAGTTTTGCCCCAGGTTTCCTGGAGTTATTTGTGGGGCCAGATTAATCCATCCCTGGGCTCTAAGCAAAATCCCTTCATGTCTGCCCGCCTCCACACACACACCAGGGATCCCCCCCTGCCCCTCTCCCGGCTGGCTCCCCCATGTAGGCACTGACTGCAGCTTCCTATTGGACACCGGCATATCAGCAGTGAAGCTCTAGCTAATCTGGTTCAGGAGCTGGTGCTCCACCCACTCAGGTTTGGCCCCATTGACCCCGCCCCCCAATATGACAAGGGCATGGCAGGGGGAACAAAATGGAGTGAGCTGGGTTGTGACCTGGTGCATGGGAGGTCACATTGCCACTCGCTCCATTTTGGCCTCATGTGCCCCTCCCAAAAAATGGGGTGCAGGCCTTGGGTCCTAGGCATATACTTAGGTTGCCTATGCCTTAATTCAGCCCTAACTGCACTTGATCTGGGGCCTGCAGGGGAGTTATTCAGTCACTGTTGTGTCCAGTGGGGCCTGGTCCCTGTTCAAAGAGAGGAGGCTGTGCTCATATAGTGGATGCTTTGTCCCAGAAAGGGGTACCTGTTCTCCCCCAGCTCACTGGCTAAAGTGATCCCCGCTCAATTTGGCCTCAAAGGGGGAACAGATGTGACAAAGTGGGAATTTTCTGTAATATTTTTGTATGAATAGTGTCTGCCTCAGTTTCCCCTATATGTGGCATTGTCCGGAAAAGGTTGTTTACCCTCTGCAGAGATCCAGCTGTGACTGATGCCTAGATCTCTGGGCTCCATGTCCATGGAGAGTCTGAGAACACAATGGCCACTTGAATTGCCTGAACATTTGGCAGCTAGCTAACAACCATGGATGGCCCTCCTCTCCTCAGCAGTAAGCCAGCCCTGTTTGACCAGCTGGAGAACAAAGGGCTGAGGGGGTAGGACCAGGGGACAAGGTCTGCCCAGGGACAAGAACAAAGGACTGAGGAGCGGCCAGGTCAGGCGTTGTTAAATGTGGGCTGTTGGAGGCTTAAGTCTTTCCGGAACTGCCGAAGGACTCTGTGCTCTAGGCTGACCAAGATGGACCATGCTGTAACTTTCTGATCTCTGTGCTAACCACGGATGCTCTATGTCTTCCAGAAATTTAATAACCTCTCCTGCTTT